ATAGAGCACAGAGAAGCATATATTTAACTCTCTTCCGTGATTCTTTTTTCTTTTTTGGCAGCTGGCTGGTACAGGAATCCGAATCCTTGACCTTGTAATTAATTCTCTTTAAAAAGAAACAAATGTATATCTTCCAATTATGTTTTGAAAAATCTACAGTACTCTACTGAATGTTTTGCATCTTTGCTTTTGTTTATTGTGTTGATGCCAGCCTGAATCATGACAGACAAGGTCCTTAATGAATTAGCTTAAAAAAAAAGAAAGAAAGAAAGAAAGTTATTGCAATAAACTCCAGAGTTGTTGATGGTTGTTTTTCAGAAACTTCTGGAAGAGGAGGGCCAAGGTTGGCCTCACTAAATGTTTTGCAGTTTCTTCCATGGAAAGACGTTTGCTTTGTGTCAAGCCCTTGTTTAATTTTCAGAATAGCAAGAGTGTTTTTCCTCTCAATTTTTTTTTTTGTTTTGAAAAATTTCGAACTCACAGAAAAATTGCAAGAACAGTATGACGAACACACACCTGCCGCAGGCTCAGTCACTGTCCTCATTTTACCACTTCTGCACTAGCTTTTTCTCTCCTCCTCTCCTCCGCTGCCCACCTTTGGTTAAATATTCTAAAACGTGCAGAGACGATGAATATCAGCCCCAAGTATTTTGACACGTACCTTCTAAAACACAAGGACGTGTTCCTGCTTGAGCACATAAAATTATCACACTCAAGAATCTTAATCTCGATACAATGTTATTATTTAATACACACTCCAGATTCAAATTTCCCCAAGTATCCTCAAACCCGTCCTTTATTCATTTTAAAAACTTCTTCCATCTACGATCAAGTATTCCATTTAGTTGTTGAGTTTCTTTAATCTCTTTTAACTAAGAACAGTCCTCATCCCCTCCTCCACCTTTTCTTTGTCCTTCATGGCACTGCCATTTGTGACCAGTGCCATGTCACTTTAACTCCCTGGAAAAGTCACGCTCAGTAAAATGAGCTGGAACAGTTTCATCAGGGACACACTTCTCGTCCCGCAAAAAATAACTTCTAGAAGCCAGATGATAATGGATTTTTAAGCCGCAGAATTAACTTCGTTTAACCCGAGGGTTCATCAGTACCCAGGTCGCTTTTGGAAGCCTGGGGCTCCTCTGTTATCTGATCCCCTTCTCTTAAACCTAAGACATTTCTTGAGCCCGGAAGAGAAATGTTTGTAGGACACTGGGATGAATGAATACAAAACGGTGAGAGAAGAAATAAGACTGCCTTCACGTGTCCCCTCTTTGGGTTCTCTGTTGTGCCTCAAAAGCAGAAGCGGCTGCAGACCAGTTTAAAAGTCTTCCTCTTGAAGCCAACCCTATAAACCCACGTCCAGTACAAACAGCTTTCTGACGAATTCCCTGAGACTCACACCACACCTCGGGCAGAAAGACAGCTGCAGCTGGAAGACATGGACAGGGCGATTTGTTCAACAACCCTTGAAAAAAAAAAATATCCAGACTTCTAGCCACCTAACAGGCGCAGATTTTATTTGCTTAAAACCTTAGTGAGTTTCCCGAGGGAAGATGTCTTGCTTCCCGAACAGCTTCAAAGACATACAGATCACATTCTTGACACGTTGCAAAGCTATGGAAAATGTTTTTTTTTTAATCGACGTGCTGCACGCAGTTTATTTACCTTCTCTCTCATTTGTAGATTTTTGAAGGCTTTATTCCTGCCCTGCAATGCTAAAGAGCATCCATAAGGTGTCAGCACCTTCATTTTAACAGGAAAGGGCTTGGGCTTCCCCCCGCCCCCGCGCTCCCCCCCCCCCAGAGTAGTTCTCCTGTTGACCTCACGATGGCGCCAACACCCACAGAGTCCGTCTGAGCCGCCTCCAGGTGAAGGAACCTGGAGTAGAAAGTAACTTGCATATCTCTTGCCTCTATCATCGCTTATTATTCTAGTAACACACGCGGTCCTCTGAGGCCCGATTCTACTTTCGGCTCGCTGACAACAAAGTTAAGAAGGGAGAAAATCAGTAGCAGGAAAACAGAAAGCCTCAGTCCAAAATACTCCGGCAGGTTAAAGAAAAGATCAGAAATATGGTTTTTGCAAAGTCCAGGTGTGTGGAAGGTGTTGTTTTAATAACCTGAACAAACATCTGTCCTGGAGTCCTACTAAGAGAGAAGAAACCCAATCCCAGGGGCAAAGGAAAATGTCTCTCTCACTTTTTCTGTCTTGATTATGAGGATTTTCCCCCCTCCCATCTCCACATTTTTTAATGGGGGGGGGGGGTGAAATGTTAGTATATTTGGCAAATCAACCTAGTTTTCAGATGACATCGGTTTAAAATTGGACATCCTTGTAAATACAAACTCAGGCAGAAACTGCCATTTTGGAATTTATTTTTCATAGTCCTTAGCTATTTTGATTTTTGTCCGATGCTATGATAAAGGTATTTCTCTCTCTCTCTCTCTCTCTCTCTCTCTCTCTCTCTCTCTCTCACACACACACACACACACACACACACACCTCATAAAAGCAGAGTAAATAATTTTCCTCCAGGAAGCCTACAGACTGAGGAGTGTTTTCTTGATCAATAGTTTGCATTTCCAGTAAAACTGTGAGAAGAGCTCGGCGTGCCTGTCATTCACTCCAAGAGAAAAGCACTTTTTGCCAGAGTCCTTATTTTTTTAAAAGATGGATGTGAAAATACTAGAGGTATTAAAAAATAATAAAATCGTAGTGGGAGTTTGAGGGTGGGGGAGAAGGCTGTGAGCCGAGAACCGGCAGCCTTATTTTACTTTGCTGGGGCGGGGGGGAAGGATAAAATTAGAAAAAGAACTCAGAACACCCATAAAAGTATAATAGAATATTTAAGGTAATAGGGACCTATTTTGTACTTTCCTTTTGATTTTGAATTTATCATGGGCAAAGATAACTCACATAAATATTTTTTTCTGTTCTTTTTTCTTTTTTTGGTCATGACTGAGATGCCCCTAATGCCTTCTATGCATCTCCCCAAAGCTAAGACCGATGGGCGGATTCTCTAACACCCTTTTTCGGGGAATCTAGTCAGCAACCGATGGAAGAATTGGGAAGAGGAAACCTGAAATACAGACGTTTCATCTGAAGTCCTCTTCCTTACCAACCCGAGGTACAACTTCCAGAGGAATTCTGACCAACATTCAGGCTTTGTAAAAGGTGTCCCATCCCTTCAGGAGAAGTGGGCAAAGGAAGAACCGATTTTTGGAGGTGTTGAAGGAATAAATAATCAATCCACAAATAAACAAACTGTCTGGGATTCCTAGAGGGAAAAGGAGAAAGCTTTGAAGGGAGAGGACCTCCAAGACGCTCCAGGTCAGTCTCTTGAATAATATAATCCGGGAGGTGTTTTTAACCGTTTGCAATCGCTTACCCAGTCCCCCCATGAAGTCCCGGCCCCCAACTCACCTTACCAAACCCCAACAAAATACAAAAGATTCAAGTGCAGAACGTTAACTTGGAGAATCCCAAGGGGCTTTCCCCGGAGCCCGCGCCCTGGGTCGGTGCTGGCAGCGGCGCCGGGCGGGGAGCTTCGGGGCTGAGCCCTCGGTGCGCCGCGCTAATTGCGCGCGTCTCTGGGCGAAGCCCCCGCGGAAAGCAGGCTCGGGTTTCTGCTCGCCAGGCAGGGGAACCCGGCCTCTGCCTGGGCCCGGTGGGTGGCTGCATTGTTCCAGTCTTTGGGGAGCGCGGGAGTCGGCTTGTCAAGGGGAATTTATATCTGGGAAAAGGGAGAGACCCCGCGAAGCTGGAGATGGTGGGCTGCAAGCGTGCACGCCGGAGAGAAAAGGGGGGAACGGGCAGAACTTCTTCACACTCTTCTCCGGACCCCGCAAACTGCTCAGGACGACGCCGATGATTTAGCGAATTCACGGCGAAGCGAGGGAACTAGTTCTCTGCACGCCGCACGTCCCCGCTCCGCCTTTCCCGCGTGGACGCCGCGGCCTGACCCCTCGGGTGGGCGCCAGGGGAACTCAGTCTCCGGGGTTCGCCTCTACAACTTTACAGGTAATTCTTGAAGACCCCAAACCTGGAAACTCCTTAATGATAATTAATTATTTGGTTAAATAAAGACGACATCCAGGGGAGGCCCTCTCCATTCCAATCCAGAACGTTGGCTTTGAATCCATTACACGGGGCCCCAATAATTAGGAAATCTAATTATTCGCCTCATCTCTCATTAATAAGAAAAATGTCCTAGGATCTTTGCTACTTACGAGGTCTTTGGGGGAGATATTTGCTCACATTCATCAATTCGATTTCATGTTTTAAGCAATTTTTTTTTTTTTTTTTTTTGGCCAAGGAACCCTTTTTGTTATTGTACTGGGAACGTGAGCCCATTAACCAAAATGTGATAATAAAATTAATTTTAATAAGGTCTAACTCTTTTACAAAAATATTCTTTTCACGTTAAGACTGAGCTGCAGAAAGCGGGCGCTGCGCGTTTGGGTCTTAGAGCCGACGGATTCCAGCGCTCCTCGTCCTGATTGGCTCCGCCTCCCCACAGCTGCCGGGCGATTGGCCCAAAGTTCCGGGAGGGGGCGTGGCCCGAGGAAAGTAAAAACTCGCTTTCAGCAGGATTTTTGAAACTTTTCCCAATCCCTAAAAGGGACTTGGCCTCTTTTTCCGGGCTCGGCGGGGCAGCCACTCCGGACCCCGGCTCGCCGCTCCTCGGGGCTGCCGATCTGCTGGGGGGCTTGGGGAGCCGCCTGCCCCTCCTCGCGAGGACCGAGGGGCCAGCCTCGGTCCCCCGCGCCCCGCGGGTAGCGTCTCCGCCGCGTCCCCGGCCGCCCGCGCGTGCTNCGGTCCGCTGAAAGCCCGCGCCCCTCCCCCGCCTCGCCCCCGAGGCCTGCCGGAGCCGGGGCTCCCCCCATCGGCCCCCATCCTCTCGCGCTCTCGCCCTGGTGCTCGCGCTCGCTCTCCGGGCCCTCCAAGCTCCCGGCCGCGGTCCGTGCGCGCAGGCGGCGGCGAGCCGTCCCGGACGCAGCATGCAGGCGCGCTACTCCGTGTCCGACCCCAACGCCCTGGGAGTGGTGCCTTACTTGAGCGAGCAGAACTACTACCGGGCGGCGGGCAGCTACGGCGGCATGGCCAGCCCCATGGGCGTCTACTCGGGCCACCCGGAGCAGTACGGCGCGGGCATGGGCCGCTCCTACGCGCCCTACCACCACCACCAGCCCGCGGCGCCCAAGGACCTGGTGAAGCCGCCCTACAGCTACATCGCACTCATCACCATGGCCATTCAGAACGCGCCCGAGAAGAAGATCACCCTGAACGGCATCTACCAGTTCATCATGGACCGCTTCCCCTTCTACCGGGAGAACAAGCAGGGCTGGCAGAACAGCATCCGCCACAACCTCTCCCTCAACGAGTGCTTCGTCAAGGTGCCCCGCGACGACAAGAAGCCCGGCAAGGGCAGCTACTGGACCCTGGACCCGGACTCCTACAACATGTTCGAGAACGGCAGCTTCCTGCGGCGCCGGCGGCGCTTCAAGAAGAAGGACGTGCCCAAGGAGAAGGAGGAGCGGGCCCACCTCAAGGAGCCGCCCCCCGCGGCGTCCAAGGGCCCCCCGGCCGCCGGGCCCCCCCTAGCGGACGCCCCCAAGGAGGCCGAGAAGAAGGTGGTGATCAAAAGCGAGGCGGCGTCGCCGGCGCTGCCGGTCATCACCAAGGTGGAGACGCTGAGCCCCGAGAGCGCGCTGCAGGCCAGCCCGCGCAGCGCGGCCTCCACGCCCGCCGGCTCCCCCGACGGCTCGCTGCCCGAGCACCACGCCGCGGCGCCCAACGGGCTGCCCG